GTCATGGCACAAGCATCAGTTAGCTAGGGAATCTTGGCAAACTAATGATAACTCCGGGTGTAGCTACCAAAGCTTTAACCTCCCTCATCTTTAAGTCTTCCTGTCGATGATTTTTTGAGATTTAAACAAAACTTACCTTTACATCTTCCCTTCAATCAAAATTTTAAACTATATTAACTTAGATTTACAATTTTCATCCTCATCTAGCACCATATATATAAGAGGTCAAAATCATTCCATTCATCCTCAATATCCTTTTTATTCCCTTTGAAAAAACAAAACCACAATCAACATCAATTAGCTAAGGAATTTTGATAAATTAATTGCAACTCTATATGTAATTGCCAATGCTCTAACCAACCTTAAAGCTATAATTTTGAACCAAAACAAAAAACTTTGAAATTCATTATAATCCATAAAACACCATTACCACAAATAATATATCCCATTTTTAAGTCTTCCTATCGACAATCCTCTAAGACCACTATTAACTCAAACTTATGACCATAAATAAAACTTACTTTTGCATCTTCCTTTTGGTTAAAATTTAATACCTATATTAATTTAAATTTATAACTATCATCCTCATCCAACACTACATATGGGAGGTCAAAATCATTCCATTCATCCTTAATATTCTTCTTATTCCCTCGAAAAAGAAAAACATTCTAAAGTATTGGCTTCATTCAAATTGACTATGCTTATCTTCATTCCACTATCTATATTCAACCTCATTCCACTATTGCATCTGTTAAACTTTATTATATTAGGGTAGAATGTTCCCTTTGGCTTACTATACTTATCCTTATTTCAGAATCCATGTTATTTGTCCTCACTCCACTATTATATTTGTTTGTCCTCACTCCATCATTGGAGCTAGACTCTTGTCCATCCCCTCTAGCCCCTCCTCTAAAGAAAAAAAAGTTTGAAGCTTCAAAGTAAAAAAGAGAAAGTGAAAAAAATTGAGGAAGAAAAATTATGGAAAAATAAAAAGTGAATAAAGAAGCATTATAATAGGATGTTTCAGTAGCTGTCAATGCATAAATGGGGAAAAAAATAAAAACATATGCTTAAATATTGGAAAACATAGAACTTCTTGTTATAAAATACTTTGGCCACCATAATATAAGCAAAAGATTCACATTACTCAACCTTCTTAATTGACAACTCAACACTTTAGATTAGAAAATTAATAAAAACGTCTACATTCTGAAAAGAACACATAAATTCCTCAATATCAATGGTAAAATAAAAGCTTTTACAAGCATTCACAAGTGGGGATATGCACTTAACCTAAAATTTTGGCAAAAGTGATTGTAGCACATATGGTTTTCACTCTTTACCCTATACTGATTTACTATAAAATAACCACAAAATGGAACGTAACCCCTGGACATGTAAGCCAAGGGTAATGGAGCGAAACTTGAGCTTTAGGGCTAAAGGAAGATGTAAAGCTAAATTTCCAAGCATATAACTAAAGAGTGAAGTGATTAGAACATAGAATAACTTTTGAGCATTGAACCTAATGAGCAAAGGTACAAAAGCACAAAGTGATATTAAAACAATCCTAGAGCATTCAACATCCAATATCAAGACCAACATGTAAAACTAAGTCAAACAAAGTCTAGCACTATTTCAACATACTAACATCCTAATGCAAAGATATAGGAATTAGCTAGTATGTGTAAGCAACCAAAGGGAATGACTTAAGAGACGATCCATGGGGTTCAAATATAGAGGGAAAGGGCCCATGAACAAGAGTGCACCCCCTTTTCCAATCGGTTAAGGGTTTTGGGATATTTGGGGTTAAGCGTCCTTGGGTTTGAATAGTACTGGGCTGGGTGACCTCCCGGGAAGTCCAAACTCAGGAGCTTACATTTGGTATCAGAGAGGTCTCAGGTCCGACTCTGTTGGTTGGCTAAGGGAATCACACCACATGTTGATTGACATCTGGCTGGTCTAGTTTGCTCCCACTGGGCTCGACCCGAGGGGTAGGGTGTCAAGAGAGCGGGGCTCTCGGGAGAGCTGCGGCTCTCAGCTTCCGTTCACGAGGGCGTGAACTTGCAGGGAAGCATGGTGGATTGTAA